TAATCTAGGAGCTCCTTGGCGAACGGAGATGTTACGATGCGCGATAGATAGTCTTGGTTTGGGATGGAGAGAGTACCCTGTGGGTTATACTGTTGGGCGGCAATGTAAGGTTGCATTAGCATGCTGTTGTACGCTAAGGGATGGCCAAGGTTTGTCCCGTACAACGCATGTTGTGGAGATGGGAAGGTTAACGTTTGGGTGGACAAGAGGGGTGAGTTTTGTGTGAGAGGATTGTTGAATGCAAATGGCTGATAATGTGGGATTGTGGTGCTGAAGGGTGTGTTTGTCACAACGGGGGTGTTTGGAAAGCCATTGTTTGATCTCTCACGATCCGGTTCAGCGGCGATGTTTGGAGAGCCATTGTTTGATTTCTCACCATCTGGTTCAACGGCGGTGTTTGGAGAGCCATTGGTTGTTCGCCCACCATTTGGTTCAACAACGGTGTTTAGAGAGCCATTGGTTGTTCGCCCACCATTTGGTATAGTGGTAGTGGTTGCAAGAAAATCAGTGTGCCACCGACGTTGTCCATCGTTGGTGGTGTTGTACTGCTTGACATCACCGTTATCTGTGGTGTTTGCATGGGAGCGCTTTGCATCATTACGGCGGCGGAGGAAACTGATCCTTCGATGGTTGGCCTCTGTGATTCGGTTGTCAGAGCGGTGGTTACCATCGAGCCGCCCTTTTGTGATGCTTCACCGGTGATTCGTGTGAGAACTGGGGTGATAACTAGTTCCAACGATATCATAGGTCTGATGGGGTTGGTTGGTGTCCCACCCATTCCATCAGTGTCGCCGGATGCCATTCTTCCAACGATGAGGAGTGTGCTATTTGTTTGTTTTTCGTCACACTACGGATGACGCCAAAGGATGTGACCTGATCCTCGGATGTTAATGTCGTATGCCTCTGAGGATTCCGATGAGCCTGTGAGGTCACAACGAGAAAGAACTGTCAGCCGTTCTTCGGGAGGCGGCTCCCGAGAAAACGCTCGGACGGTCAAGTAAGTGGATGGACTTGAGAGAATATGGGGTAAAACGGTAGAGAGCGACCTACTTTCCTAGGCACCGTGGGTGGCATTTTATACTGAACCCTTCTGCTAGTCCGTACGGGACAAGGGCATCAGTTCCGACAAGATCGGGGACGCTGATTGGATGATCATGCTCTTTGGTCTGTCAGAGCCAACGATTGGTTCAGGTGGTAATGCTTTGAGCATCCGCCTTCGAGTAGAAATGAATATGCAGAAGAACTGACTTCGTTACATTGTGGGTTGTAGCAGGAATCGAGTAGAAATTAATATGTTCCAAAAAAGTGGCATGCCTAGAAACATATACCTTCTGACTCATAGGGTCATAACAACGATATCCTTTATGTCCAACACCATACCCCAAGAATACACAAATAGCATATTTCGGTCCCAACTTGTTCCTCTGAACATGAGGAAGAAGAACAAAACAAGTATATCCAAAGACTCATAGAGCAGAGTAGTCTGGTAGGTAACCATATAGCTTCTCAAAAGGAGACATTCCTGAATTCAATGTAGTAGGAATATGATTAATCACATAAACAACAGTTAAGACTGCTTCTCCTCAAAAGGCACTAGGAACCTACACAGATAAGAGCAATGAGCGGGTTGTCTCAACAATATGACAGTGTTTCCGTTCTGCCACACCGTTTTGCCGAGGAGTATCAGTGCACGATGACCGGTGTATGGTATCATCAGAAGCAAGTAACTTAGTAAAATCATTAGAGGTATATTCACCCCGTAAGTCACACCCGAAGCACTTTATCACAACTGAATGTTGAGTTTTAACAAGAGCTCTAAAATTACTGTAAATGCCAAGGAAATCAGATCTGCATTTTATAAGATAAACCTAGGTATAACGACTGTAATCATCTATAAAAGATACATAATAGGTCGACCCACCCTTTGTGGATACTGGTGCATGACCCCACACATCAAAATGAATAATATTAAAAGGATCAATAGAGCAAGACATACTTTTACTGAAAGGTAAAGCAAAGAATTTTGCCAATTTACAACCACTACAATCAGAAATATCACAAGTGTTCAAATCACCCGAAACACCACTAGATGCTAGAAAACTCAAATGTGATATAGAAACATGTCCCAAACGAGAATGCCAAAGATAAAATTGAGACGACAAAGGAATCAAACGAAAATAAGACAAATCAATGATGGAGGTAGCAACAACAGACACATTGAGAACCTCCAAGACATAAAGTTCTCCCACCCTACGGCCGATCCTAATCACCTTTTGAGTGTGTTGGTCCTGTATAACACAACCGTAATAAAAAAACACCCAATTACCTGACTTACACAACTGGCTGACTGAAGCAAGATTCAAAGTGAGTTTAGGAATGTAATAAACATCAGGGAGAGACATATGAGGGATAGAAACAAACCCAACACCCTCAACTGTCATAGATGTATCACTAGCAGACATAACATAGATAGATGACATGTGTGACAGAGAAGTAAACAATGACAAATAAAGAGTCGTGTGATGGGTTGCACCAGAATCTAAAATCCACAAAGATGAAGGTATACCTGAGGTATCGGATGAAGTAGGACCAGAATTAGACATAAATTTAGACATGTCAGTAGGATTGGAGGCCAAATACTGTCTGAAACTCTCAAAAACCTTGTGATCCAACGCAGAAGGGGGCAAGTTGCCAATAGACTCAGTGTCAACTGATGCAGCAATAGCTGAAGAGAACTGTGGATGGCGAAGTGTCCATGGAGGATCACCAGAGGAACGTGGCTGAAACTTCTGCTGACCAGATCTATGATGTTGTCCTGAGTGAGTCTGACCAGATTTACCCTTGTTGACTAACAATGGACACTAAGCTTTCCAATGATTTTTCTATTTGCAGAAGGCACACTCATCATAAGCAACCCTTGGAGTTTGTCGAGACTAATTAGTGGAAACAACAAGTACAGCAGGACTGGAGGTAGGAGTTGAGATTTCTTTAGACCCTTTATCAGCATGAGACTTGATACGAGTTTCTTCAGCAATCAGCTCATGAACAACAAAATCCACTGAGGGAAGGGGAGAACGATGAAGAATCGTTCCATGTAGGCCTTCAAAATCAGAACGCAATGTCATCAAAAACTGAACCAAACGTTGTTCTTCCCTTCTAGCAATATAAGGCTCAAAGTATTTTAACTCTTTAGATTTAGTAAGAGCTAATTGATCTCACAAATCAAACATAGCAGCATAAAAATCTTGAATACGCATATCATTTTTCTGAAGGGCACGAATGTCATATTCTAACTGATATTGTTTAGCAAATTTTGACGGAGTATACAGTCTCTCCAAATGATTCCAAACTTTCTTTGATGTGTCATATTTAGCCAACTGCATACCAATAGACTGTGTAACAAAATTATTAATCCAAGTAATGACATTGGAGTTATCAATCTCCCAAGTTCAACCAACAAATTGAAATTTTCAGCTTGAGGCACTGAAGGTTTGGCTTTAGTCCCAGTGACATATCCCTACATATTCTTCCCACGAAGGAAGTTCTTCATAACATAACTCCAATAAGTGTAATTCTTTCCATCTAATCGAGTACTGATTGACTGAAGGGAATCATCATTTCCAGTCATGTTGGCAACAAATAAATAACCACAACAACAGACAAGCAATCAGAGAACAAGAACAACAAACCATCGGAAGCAACCAATTGAGCAACAAGAAATCGAACAACAACAAACTAACAGCAACAACAAGTGAATACTAATAAGCAAACGAACATCCGCGTCATAGATGACTGCTACAAAATCTTCTAACATATCAAACATTCGCTCTGATACCATGATAATTAAGTCATATTCTTATTGAAAGAGAGAGATAAAAGTGTTCTAGATGGAAAGCATAAAGCTACAAAGAAGAAAGAGAAGAATAAATACAAGCTAAAACAAAAATTCTAATAGGCTAAAGGCTAAAGAACCAATAAACATGTAGGCTAACAAATATGGGCTAACAACATATAAACTAACAATGATGACATGAAGAATGCAATATATATGAAAGAGATGATAACATGAACGGCGGAGTTAAATCATGGTGCAACTTACAAAAGAGTTTAATAGACTTATGGTCAACTTTTTAATTTCTATTAAATAAAAAATATTCTAAATGTTTTTTCATAATTTTGGCACTCCATTAAATCGAAAGAATTTTCTAGAGTTCGATTATGTTATTTTTGTCTTTTTTCTTCGATAAAATATGATTGCTTTGTGTAGTGAGCCCTAGATATAATTATGAAAATATGATTGATATAGGGGTGTTTTGGATTACTTTTAAGTGCTCAAAATTCATTTTTGTAAAAATCTTTTTGGTTTTAACTTTTGGAGGAGCAAAAGCCAAAAGTTGGTTTTAAAAAGTGTTTTGTCTTAACTTTTTTGACTTTTGAATCTAATTTACCCTTTAAAAGGCTAAAAGTCAAAAAAAATATAGAATTTCCTCATTTTTTAAAACCCACTATTTTATTATTAGCAAAAAGTTATTTTTAAAAGAATATTTTTATTTGCCAAACATCTTTTTGAATTTTTTGATTTTAGACAAACCCAAAAAAAAATCAATTAAAAAGCAATCCCAAACACCCTCGTGAAATTTCAAAAACTTTTGTGGCGAAATTTCATGCATCTTTAGACTATAGGGAATGCCAAACATTCGCGTCTTCTTCCCCAAAATCAATCTCGCGGGATATCCCCAAAATCAAACATTGACGATTGATGAAGAATTTAAGCATCGACAATCTTCTTTAGCAGAGGGTGTACCTGCGAGATTTGATCTTGGAATCGATTTTGCGCACTCGATCGGCGATTTAGGGTTTCATTGAAGGCTCAAACAACTTTTGCGTTCGAGAAATTCAACCTGGATATTTATCTACTTTCCGTCGAAGCAGCCACCTGTGTTCAAGTAAGTTGCTACTTTGAAGCCTGACCATGATTTGATGCTTTAGTTGCTGCGAAAATGGGGAGATACAGCGACGACGACGAAGACGAAACATTTTACTACAGATATTCCTCTGTTGCACCACAACCACCTTCTTCCTCTTCCGATATAACCTTAACAAAGTCCTCATCGTCTAGAGGGGGTAAGAGTGGAGGTTTAGCCCCATCCAAATCCACGGTGTACGTTAGCAACATTGATTATAGCCTCACTAACTCCGATCTGTTCACCATCTTCTCTACTTTCGGTAAGGTTGCCAAGGTCACAATCCTCAGAGACAAGGTCACTCGTGAGAGCCGTGGTGTTGCTTTCATCTTGTTTGTAGCTCGTGATGATGCTGTAAAAGCAGTTAATGGAATCAATGGGAAAATTCTCAATGGTCGAACATTGACTGCTTCCATAGCTGCTGATAATGGTAGGGCTCCTGAGTTTATTAAAAGAAGAGTATATAAAGATAAGAGCAGATGCTATGAATGTGGAGAGGGTGGGCACTTGTCGTATGAGTGTCCAAAGAATCAGTTTGGGCCACGGGAGCGTCCACAGCCATCAAAACGGGGAAGGAGAGAGGGTGGTGGTGGATATAGGCGGAGCAAGGAGGAGGAAGGGGGTGGGGATGATGATGAAACTGGTGGTGATGCGGTGTTTGAGGATGATAATTGGGCGTCAGTGGTGGATAATGGGGCTGATGAGAGGTTGTTGGGTGGTAGGGATGGGAATCAAGGTGAAGCTAGGAAGAAAGGGAAGAAAGAGAAGACAAAGAAAACAAGTTATTTTAGTGATGAAAGTGACAAAGAGGACTGATTTAAAGATCAACGAATGAATGAAGGTACGAGTTTTGGTTCAATTTCGTGAGGAATGTTTTTTGCTTTCCCCTACGTTTATCAGATTAAAATGTACTTTTTTGAAGGGGTAAATGCAAGAAGTAGCAATCTAGTTTCCATTTTTTTTTGGTTATAGAATGCTACTTTTTTGTTCTTATTACAAATCATTGTATCTTTAAATTATCTTTTATTAGGACATTATATTATGAAAATCTACTCTAGCCTATCTATGTGTATATTATTATATTGACATTAATTTAACGTAGTTTAATATTTCTTCAAAACTGATGGTGAACGATCAACTTGTGTAAACACTAACAGTTGTGAACATGTTTAATTCATGAAATTATGTTTTTCTCTAAAAGATAATTGATTAAATGCACTTGATCAAAAAAATAAAAGTACGATGTAATAAAAAATCGCAAGTTTAATAGTATGAAAGAAGACTGATAAAAAGAATTAAGTTACAAAGTATTCTATATAAAAAAAATTAAATTTTGAAAGTACAATCACACGACACAGAAGCTGTTATTGTGTCATGTCATCATTAATTCCAATTAACATGTTATCATTGCTATAATGGGTATACTTTTTGAAGTACACTGCTGTAATAAAAAATAATTAGAAACCACAATGTTTGTAATAAGAAAAAAAAAAAAAAAAAAAAAAAACTGAAAGTACAATGCTATATAATAAGGGAGAAATGGAAACTACTAGACCTTTATTTACCTATTATAAATGGTAAAAAATATCTACTTGCACATTCCATAGTTATGAATTTGACATGACATATCCATATAACATACAGTATATTACAATGGTCACAAGTCTTTTCGTTACAAGATTTCTGACCCACAATCAAATGCTGATTTATCTTTGATATCTCTAGCTTGATTCTCTTGATTTCTGCATTATACAACAAATTAATTAAAAGTTAAACACAAAAAATAGTAGAAAAATGCGAAAATGGTATAAAGGAATAGAAGTTGAGATGGAGAAGGAGGAAACATATACCATCATCTCATGATCGCCCATGATTTCTTCCATCACCTCTTGTAGTGGTTTATCAGCACTATTGGGTACAACAGCTGCAAACACTGCTCCTTCTAATCCTATGTATACAGTAAATATACAAATATATAATATTGTTAATTTTCAACCTGAAAATCGACACAAATTCTTCGGTTTTGTAAGTAATCTTGATTATAACATTTACATCCATGTTGGTAAAGAACCAAAAATTCACCTTTAGCTTTACCAATATTCAAATTAAAAATGGAGTTGATACTATAGAACAAAAGGGTAAAATATGTATGTATGTAATGTTTTAAACAAGTTTAAGATCAAAAAAAAAAAAAAAAAAAGTTGGGGAAGTAGAAAATACGATGAGTTTTATTGCAATTTATGAAGAAAAGTCAAATTGCAATTGGAATAGGGTGTATATTTAGGTGCATGATAACATAAATTTTAGCCAAGAATTACCGGATTCCGGAAAAGCATCAATGAACATCATCATCTCCTCTCCTGTAAGACCAGATAAAAAACAAATCCTTGGAAGAGATTTCGCAATCTGTTAAAGTACAAAGAATTTGATCTAAACTCATAAATTAAGATACAATAAAACTTTAGGATACAACATATTATATTAAATCAATCAAATATGTGCAAATGACAACAATATCTTTTCCTACAATAGCTAGAGGATTAACCTTTGAAGCTTCAAGGTTTGACTGTTTGGTATTTACAGCTTCCCAAAGAGACCCCTTCATCATGTCTTCGGTGCAAAAGATAACCTAAATTACACACACAAAAACTGATCAAAATTTGTCCAAAAATGTCAACAGACCCTTTGATTTGAGGACTAAATGCTTCATTTTAGCCTAAAGCTTCAAAAAAAAAAAAAAAAAAAAAAAAAAAAAAAAAAAACTGTTACCTCTACAAATTCACCTTCCAACTCTTTCAAAAACTTCTGTATCTGCAACAATGAACAATTCAATTCTGTAAGAAATAGATGTATAATGTAAAAAGTGTGTTTTACTAAAGAAGATAGATCAATGGAGTTACCTTCACAACCTCATCCACTTGAAAACCAGTCAATAACATAGCCTGCAAATGCCAGATAGACAGTTATGGATTTCTTATCTTACGACTTATTCAATCAAGCATCAGATATATAAAAAAGATTAAAACACAATACTTGTTTTTGGGTAATAAATGGTAAAGAACTAAGTCACTAACCACAACTTACTGGTGGACCAAAAGTAGGATCATCGGGATTTAGAGGAACAAACTTTGAATCTTCTATCAACTCAGAAGGAGGTCCTATAACAACATATTCAATTTATAAAACTCTGATTAGCGATAACATATTGAAGTAGAGATCAATTTCACTAGCAAATCGAGAAGGATACTGCTATAACAAGTTGTAAAACATGCTGTAAACAGTGGTATTATGTGAGGCAAACCTTCAGGAGCTGCCTTGAGGAGGTGCTTGAGCTTCAATCCATGGTGGTGAGTGTGCGTGATTCGAGTCTGAAATGATGAAGAAAAATTGAAATCATTGGAAGGCAGACATCGTTTTGAGAGATTTGAAAGTTCAGAGTAGCTCTGAACCCTAGTTATGAAGGCTGAAGAAGAAGCCATTTGAGACACGATGATGCAGATGTGACGATTCTCTCTCTATCTTCTTTATCCCGTTGGAATTCATTTTATCGCATTTTCATATTTGATCCTCTAATTATGTCCTAGTTGCCAGATTGTTCAAAAGTATATGAATAAGTTGACTACTTGACTCTTCTTGAAGATTCAAAATATCCAATACAAGTTTATTATGGTGTTGTTTGTTTTTTTGATAAAAAAATCTTTTTCAACCTCTTATTTCGGAAAGACATTTAAGGAAAAAATCTTTTTTAACCTCTTATTTCGGAAAGACATTTAAGGAAAAAACTGTTTGCTTTTCAGAAGAGGGATAATGTCATAAAAAACCTTAAGTTTTTCAGGAATTTACGGTTTTACCCTTTCACAGAATTTGGTTCGTTTATGCCTTACAAGTTTTTTTTTTCGGTTTTTCCATTTTTACATGTTAAGCCGGTCACCTGTATAGGTGGCAAGCCACGTGTGCTGAGTGGGCGCAAAGCCACGTGTGCTGAGTGGGCGCAACCTGCTGATGTATCAGCAACGTGTGCATTGACGGATCATTTTAATGCCTTTATTATAAATAAAATTTAAACATAGAATGAAATGGGATGCGCAGATTTCGAACCTGCCACTTCCAACTCACAAAGTAGGAACTTTACCACTGCGCTAAACTGCTTCTTGTGTTACTATACCTAAACATATAATATATATTAGAAATACTGAAACATTTAAGTATGATTTTGATTATTATTATTATTATTATCGTTATTATTAGTATTATTATTATTATTATTATTATGAGCGTATTTAAAGAGTTAAAACATATTTTTAATATATAAATACCTTTCGAAATGTATTTCTGTTTTAAAAATACAAAAATATGCATTGGTATTAATAATACAAAACAATTTGTATTTATATTGAAAATACAAAAAAAATCCAGTTTCAAACCAAGTATGTATTTTTTTTATGTTTTTGGAAGTTTAAAAGATATGTATCTATATATTTTATACTTTTAAAATCGTAATATATATATATATATATATATATATATATATATATATATATACACGTTTTTAAGTGTATAAATAAACCAAATACGCTTTAAAAAATATATATATACCATTAAATATGTTTTTAATATGTTTTTAAGTGTATAAATAAACCAAATACACTTTAAAAATATATATACCATTAAATATGTTTTTTAATCTTTAAAACGTATTTGGTACCTTTATAAATATAATTATACCTTTAAACTGTAATTAAAAATATATGTATAAACTAATAAAAAAGAAAATAATAATAATAATAATAATAATTATTATTATTATTATTATTATTATTATTATTATTATTATTGTTATTGTGTTAAAAAAATTTCATTTGTATACATCATATATTGCGTTTTCAGGTTTAGAAACATGAAATGCTTTCCAGCCTAGTGGTAAGACCCTTGTTTTTTGATTTAGAGGTGGTGGGTTCTAATCCCCCACCCGGTTTTCCCTAATATCTTAGAATTTTTGTATTAAATGAATAAAGCCATAGTCAGCACACACGTGACCGACACGTCAGCATGTTCCGCCCACTCAGCACACATGTGGCTTGCCACCTATGCACAGGTGACCGACTTAACCTGTAAAAGGGTAAAATCGAAAAAAACTTGTAAGTTTGCGGCATAAATCAAACAAAATTTTGTCAAAGGGTAAAACCGTAAATTCCTGAAAAACTTAAGGTTTTTTTATGACATTATCCCTTCACAAGACTACAAACATAAAAAAGTTTTTTATCTTTTTTTTCAAAAAGACAAAAAAAAAATAGTTTTTGATTTTGGAAGATGTTTTCTAATTTTTAACTTTATGTCATATTTTTATTTCCACCACAAATGTCGCCATCACCCAACACCACCAAACAACCCCTATACAAATTAAAACCAACCAAATTTCTGGGTTTTTTTGGCATTCCGGTTCTAAAACTTGAAATGCGGTTCCATCCTGCCTATTTTGACATTTTAACAAAATATGCAATATCACATACAAGATGACTAAATAAGTTCTTTTATTACTTAGATCTAGATTGTGATACAAATACAAATTAAATCTCTCTACAAAATCACTCACTTCTCACCTAAACTAACTTACTCTAACCTAATCAATGTAAACTAAGTTAGTTTACTTGATCTAAAACTCAAAAATACAAGAAATGTGACAATGGCTACTAGAGTTTGATGTAGAGAAAAGTATGTGATATCTAAAGATAAGTTGCTCTCTTAAAATGAAACAACCCTAAATTCAGCTTATATAACACACAAAGTGAATCTGGGTTAACTCGTAAGTCACTTAGGATCCCTATTAGACTAAGAACATGAACTTCACAATTTAAATATTTAATCCAGCAGATATCAACATGAGCAAGTTCAGTCCTTTAGCTTTTTTCACAGCATACCCTCAACATTCAACACACTCACAAAACCTGCACAAAACAAATTAAGTTAAACAAAATCTATACAAATAAAACATTTATTGTCAGATCGAAATTAATATGAGATGATACTCAAATTTCAATACATTTTCGGATCTAGACCCATTTTACCTAGATCCCTTATATCGGTTGGGTTCCCAGTTCCACTAATAGTCTGATTTCGATTTCTGAGTTTTTTTTTTTTTTTTTTTTTTTTTTTTGTTATGTTAGTAAAATTTTAGTTTTATCAATATATTTTAGTGTAATTATAATTATTGTTGAGACATACCTGATTCAGTTTACTATCCAATACTGAAGGTGCGTGGTGCACACTAAGAGTGTTAAATGTGAACTCGGGCATACGATGGTTCGGAGGCAACGCCCCGGGCATAGGGTTGCAAGAGGCAGCGCCCTTGGAGGGATCTATGGGCAACACCCCTTGCGGAGTCTAAGGAGCAGAGCCCCTAACGGTGGTGTAACCAACTGATGACACTATGATGATGTAGGCATCAATTGTGTCCCTTAACTACCCTTTTTTGGATCTAGGGACAGCACCCCTAGCGGTGATGTAACCAACTGATGACATCATGATGATGTAGGCATCAATTATGTCCTTTAACTACCTTTTTTTGGTGCCAATTTGGTGTAACCGACAATTAACCACTTTCATTCCTTGTATAAATGCAGGATTAATGTTACAGGAAAAGGGTTGACAATTCATATATATGAAATTGGTCTTTATCACAACGTATTATGTGTTTTATGTTTTGGATTAAGCTTGTAATCTAAATCAGATTTGTTGGATTATCTCACTTTTGAATTTGTGTAATCTTAGGTTATAAGGGACGAATTATAGATTTCAAAAAGTAATATAATCAAAATTCAAGTAATATTCAAGTGTTATTGTTATTCAGAAATCCATTTTCTAAGAGGTGTTACATGCCTATATAAGATGTTACATAAGATGTTTTAAGAAGGTGAACGCCTAGATCGGTGACCGAATTGATTATTATTAACTGTTCTCTCCAATAATTTCATAATACGACTAAGTGGCTTGATTCCTTTATACTTCATATTAGAATAATGTTATGTAAAATATTAGAAGATAATATATTATACTTAAATTAATTTATATAATAATTATCGCTTTGCGATGACCCTTCGATCTCTATCTATCGGTACATGGGTACATCTATACCAAACATTCGCCTGCCCCAAACTGGATTTCGCCAAGAAGAGTCGGAAACTATATATGGTTTGAATTTCGGAAGTGCGATTTGAAAGCCATAGATGGATGAAGAATCTGAATTTGCCTGATTTTGAACATTGATCATCGGTTTTGAAGAGTATTTACCTGCGAAATTAGAGCTCTTAATTGACTCTGCGCACTGCAACGGCGATTTAGGGTTCGTTGAAGGCTGGAGCAACTGTTTCTAGCCTTTCAAGAGATTCATTCTCCAAGTTCACTTTTTTTGGTCTGCGAAGCAACGATCTATGTTCAAGTAAGATGCTACGTCAAACCTCAATCTACTTTGTCTGTTGTTGTCGCTAGGGTTACTTGATAAAAGCCTTCTTCTAAAACCTTTATCTTGTTAATTTTGACATATTGTTGTGTTTGTGTTTTAACTGTTTCTTGTTAGTGATGATGATGCACGATCTGCCCTCACCAACATGTATGAGTATTCACCAGTAGATGGGTTTGTAGAGATCTCACAAGGGTTGGGAGACATGATCAAATCCTTAGCAAATGAACCCTCAATGGGCCTTTTCTACATTCAACAACACACTCACAATGCTGTTCCAAACCTCGTAAGCATCAATAAAAACATCATGACCAAATCCCGCGAAATGAGTCTACACACAGAAGATTCAGAGGATTCAATCACAATGCTGAGATCAATGAAGGAATCTGGATTCCCTATTGTTGATGACATGGTTAAAGACATCACAAAATCTTTAGCTATTATGTCATCAAAACAACCAAAAAAAGGGTTGTTGATTAGTAACAAATCTTTTTCGGGAACAACAACAATGTCTGGGACTGGTAGTTATTTATCATCTGCTTTCAAGTCTGCAAAATTAAAAGCAACGAATCTGAAATGGGCTTCAGTTGAAACCTCGGAGTCATCAATGGAGGAGGAATTGCCTGTATCAAGTGAGAATGGGAATGAAGATAAAGATGAATTGATATTGAATCTGTCAAGGTCTGAAAAATTTGATGAATTTAAAGCAGATAAAGAGGCCAAACTGGAGGAATGGTTAGGAGGTAGTGATGATTGATGAATAAATAAAGTTTGTAAATTTAAAATTGTTGTAATAAACTATACAACAATGTCAATGGCTGAATCGTTTTTTAGAAAGATCATGTAAAGAGAATGCCCAAAACCTAAACTTGTGATTTTCATGTCAAGTATGATGGTCATGGATTCTGTAGGAATCATAAGGAATTGGAATGGAAATTTTCATCTTTAAATTCTGTAACCAACAGATTTTATCATTCTTTGAAATAAACCCAAAGAATCTAAATCTCTTCTCCAAATTGTTTCATTTTGTAAACTTTGAGTAATTATTTGAAAGAAAACTAAACCCAAACACCCTACCGTCCAAGCTTGGAGTATTTGGGTAAAGGAAACCTATAAGATTGGGGACTGCTGACCTCCGACATAATAATAATAATTTAAAGAAACAAAAATGTTAGTCCAAAGAAATATAAATTGGAGTGAAGTGGTGTTTATCCGAATAAAGACCCCGTTAGACGCCCAAAAAAAATAAATAAATAAATAAATAATGCACATGAAGAATAGGTAAAAGGTCAACAAGCAAGATAAGAATAAATAAGACATAGTAAAAGTAGATAGAAGTGAGCCGAGAGCATAAAGGTCAACAAGTAAACCATGTATAAAACATAAAAATAGTGAAACATATAGAAGTAAGTGGATGATGATAACAAGTACAAGGTAGGAGAAAAATGGTCACAAAACACACATACACACATAAAGTAAAACCTAGATATGCAAAATTTTACTACTTTGGTATCTTGATTTTTAGCCTCCATGTTTTCTTATAAGATGTCATGTTCTCGTTAAGGGCTAACTCCTTCACGTCAAACCTCATGCTATCTTCTCACTTTTTTCTCATCAACCTCTCATTTTTGATCCATCAACTATAATCGTTTCCACTCTCCTAACAACACCAGTTGGTTGTCTCCTATGTAAACCATCACAAAGGATATAATACTTATAAATGTTTTAAAATCCTCAAATATGTACACTTTCATTTAAAGGTAAAAAAAAAAAGTAAATTTGCAAACCAACAGTGAAATCCTTCACATTCCAATTCTTCTAAAATATTTCAATGACAAAACTTCAAAAATGGTCCCTGTGGTTTTCAAAAATATCAAGTTTAGTCCCTAAGTTCAAAAAAACCTCACAGATGGTCCCTGTGGTTTCAAAACTTTTAACATTTGGTCCTTTTCGCTAACTCCGTTACCTTTTGGCCGTTAAGTGAAGGGCAATTCTGTCATTTCACTTCCACAGGGACCATTTATGAAGTTTTACCTTATTTTTTTAAAAAAAAAGAAAAAATATACCGAGATCGTTTCTGCCATCGATGGATTCAGATCAGTTACAGAATGGTCGGAAAACCCAAATTTGATAACGGAATCAACTTCAATTGATCGTTTCTGGAGTGGTGTGTTATTTTGTCAAACAAGTGGAGTGGAAACTGAACCACGATATGGGAGTGGAAACTAAAAATTATGTTTCGAAGAGGATGAACAAACGATTAGTTGTAACAACAATGGAAGGCGGTCGCCTCTTCCTCATTAAATCCTACATCCTATATACCCATAACCCCAATTGATCCAATCCCAAAATTGCATCCAAAGTCTGTCATTCGATCAGATTAACTTTTAAAATGCCATACAATGAAGACGAATCCTCCGGCAGTGATTCTGATACCGGATTTGACGAAAATATGGAAGCCCTAAGAAAGGCCTGCTCTGCTCTGTCACAGGTGTCGACGATTCAGTCGATGACCCCCCCAAAGCATCCACCGCCTGTAGAGATTTTGGTGATACCTATGCGTCTGAGGATGAAGACATTGAAGAAGACCCAATTGCCAAAACTCGATTTTGAAACTCAATTTGGTTGTACCTTTTGATTATTTGAAAATGGTGTATCTTGCTGTAGATGTCTTCGATCATATCCTCGCTTGCTTCTTCCTTCAATAAGCCCTAAAAGCAATATGCTTTCATCCACTTCAACCCATCGTCGATCTCATGCTTCACTGGTGGTCATTTACATCAGCGAACTTCAGAAATCAATTTATCCTTCCTACGCCTCAAATTAATTTGATTTGGCACATCTTCTGGGGTCGGCAAACATGTCTAACTGAGCAGTCCCCGATGGAGGGTTAAAAAGGTTACTGAGCAGATCGGTACGTTAGGTTTGAAAATGAACTTTGACAAGGGTAACTTGGTTTCACTCGCAGCATGAATCCTTTTTGGTCATCTAACCTCCCGATTTCGATCTTCCCCCTTTTCATTTCTTTATGCGTTTTCTGTTCATTCGATTTTGCAGAAACCAATTTTTATTTTGTTGTTTTCTGTTGCCCATGGTGGTTTTGATGTGCAATGAAAGAGAGAGAGAGTAAACTGAAATTTTCATTTTTTTTAAATAATAATAATAATAAACCTCATAAATGGTCCCTGGATAGTGAAATGACGAAAATACCCGTCACTTAACGGCCAAAAGGTAACGGAATTAGCGAAAAGGACCAAATGTTAAAAGTTTTGAAACCACAGGGACCATCTGTGAGGTTTTTTGAACTTAAGGACTAAACTTGATATTTTCGAAAACCACAGGGACCATTGTTGAAGTTTTGTCTATTTCAATTTATTTCTACACATTTTGCAGACCAAATGCACCATAATGTTTTTACTTGGGCATGAAGAATGAAGAATGCAAAATGAACCAAGTCACTTACACAGAAGCCACTATACAAACGATTGAACTTGATATCACCTGATGTTTCATGTATGTGATTATCTTATTAGTTGGGAGTTGTTAACTAAAACTTTTGTCTTATCTTTTTCATGTTTCATTGGGTTTATAACCTAAATCACTTTATGATTATTTTGTCCTTGTTCTTTATAGTTTATACACACCGTTGAGGCAAACTTAATAACTCCCAAGGAATTTCTATTCCAGTTTGGCGTTTCCCTCGGAAAATGATGATGTCAACAAATTAGGTCATGCCAACTAATAAGGGGAAACATCATTATTTCAAACAGACATCTAAATAAATAAATAAATACCCATTACAAAGTTTAAAAAAAAAAGATATTTATTTAAAACTCAAACATCTACACAAGTCCCGTTTTTTTACAACATTTCGCCATCTAATTCTACTAAATGTCTAAATCCCAACCATGTGAAGCAGCCCCAACCCCAACCCCAACACCAAGTCCCTCAACATTCGGAGGATAAGAGGCAGAGGCGCTAAAATTACCAATCAGCCCTTCACCCACATTCATATTTACACTTGGAATCGACTCATTAACCACCAATTTGGTCATTCCACTAACACTACTACCACCTACTTTAACTTCCACGTCATTACCCCCAACCCCTTCAACAGGAAGCAACTGATTATTGTTTTTCCGCAATATCTTTGCCTTTCTGAAACACAAAAAAATTAAAAAAAAAATCAAACAATGTAAGATCACATTTGGATGTAAATACAAAAAACCTACCTCACCAACTTCTGCTTCATAGCTGATTTCGGCTTCAAGGTTCCTTTTTCATAAATAAATACAAAATGTTAGTCCTCGAATATCACCACCAGTGGCAGTATTGTAAATACATATTAAAAAAAAATTATCAAAGAGTTCACCAGATTTAACAGTTACTGCAGGTTTGCTTTTACTTCTTTCAGCCTTAATTTGAGAAATAACATCATCAGCACCAGGTCCCAACCCTTTCCTTCCAATCAATTTCACTCCAAGTTTTTCAATCAAATAATTCAACCTCATTTCATCACCTCCTTTCACTTCTCTCAACTCCAACACTTGTTCCCTTGATAACAAAGTATACACATGAACCTCTTGTTGCTGATTAAAATGCGATTGCAACTGTTGGAATATTAATTTATTCGAATACAACTGACCTTCTTTCCAACTCTCTTGCCCTTTTTTCACAAACCCCACACGCAAAACACACATCGATCCCAAATCTTTCTTATTATAAATCACCGAAAAACTCCCGAATTCCAGATCCGGTTCCCGAAACAGATCCGCAAGAACCGACCCGCAAACGTACGCGTTTTTTGACGGGTTTTTCTCGATTTTACCCCTGAGAGCTCGATTGGTGTCAAAATGGTAAATATTAGCAGCTTCTCTTAACCCGCTTAAAAAGGCGCCATGCATGGTTGCAGGGTAACGTCTCGTGGTCGCCTCCCCAGCGAAAAAAAGCTTCCCGTCCCCTACGCTTTCTGCTAAAATGTCGTAATCGTCCCCGGTGGACCCCACCGCAACATTTGAATACGACCCTAGAGAGAACGGGTCACAACCCCATCGTGTGCACACGGTTTGTATCGGTTCCGGTACTTCAATCCCTTGTGGCGAATATATGCCACGTAGGATTTGGAGGATACGTGTCACCGCGTCAGTGGGTGGCATGCTTTCGAATGAATGTGCAGCTTCACCTGCCACTAAAGCCATCAACACGGGCCCACCTGCTACATTTGCATAGCTGTAGAATAGAAAGAATTCGCCACGTGTACTTGGGTTATCGGATAAATGCCCAAACATGTCCAAATCGGTTCCCCAAAAGAGATTAGGGAAAAGCATTGCAACTTTGTTTAATAAACCAAATCCTAATCGTTTGATTCCATCTAATTTTCTTTGAGGTAAATTAGGGGTGAATTTAATGGACCCACTTTTTAAAACCCCAAGTGGAACAGTGCATAAAGCAATGTCTCCTTCAAAAACTTGTCCTCCATTCACAGCAACTTGTACTCCATCACTACTGTAACGAATAGAATTTACTGTTTTTTCATAAAGAATCGGGACGTTTTCTGCTAACGCGTGGACCAATCTCCAGTTGCCACCTGGCAAGAAACAATGGTCGCCTCCCATGTCATACGGGTCATCTTGATCCCAAAATGCTAAAGAGAGTTTAGAGAGTAAACCCGCGTTTGCATATTCTAGATTAGCAAGATGCCAATTGAATAAACTTGTTTCTTCTGAATTTGAAGAGTTGTTGTCAACTTCCCAAAATGTTTCCAAAGCTGCCCCTAGAGAAACATCTTGTGAGACTTCACCCATTAACTGTCTAAGCTTGCTTGCTTTGTCTAGGAGTTGATTGAAAGCTATTTCAACTTTGGTATCAGTTTTGGAATCTACTGGTGTTCCATCTAATCTATAGAGTGGACATTTATCGCGTATTTTATGAAGAGGATATGATAATTGTCTAGCTAAAATCCCAAGAGGGTTTCCATGTGTACCTGTTAAAACACTTCCTCCTAAATCAGCAGCTGCAACTTTATTTCCTCCTTCCATTTTCCTGGTGTAAACTCGTCCACCTGGACGTTTTCTTCCTTCCAAAACTGTAACTTTATACCCAAATGTCATCAGTTGTCTTGCAGCTGCAAGTCCAGAAAGACCAGCACCTATGACTATTACATTCCCTTTTGTATTAGTTTCAGCAAGAAGTTTATCTTTGATCAATGGTGAAACCCCAAAATTGATGTATCCATGTGAGAATAGGTAGTTATATGCAGAATCTAAAAGCTTGCTACAATGTGAGGGTACAACATCGAGAAACATATCTTTTGTTACCCAATTGAATACGTTTTCTCTCCATTTGGTGATGATATGGTTTCGAATCAGTATATAATTGACCTGTTCGATTCCACCAACAACCGAAACAACTCCTGCGTCGATTTCTTCTTCTGTAAGTACATCCGCCGGAAACCCGGCGGTTAAAGCAATCAAAGCTTCGGATGTTGCTTCTTTGTTGATTACTATTATTTCATCGGATACATCTACTTGTGATGCTTGATTTGATCCGATGTTAGGGTTTCTATCAAAATGATTAGAACCGAAAGAATTTTGTTTTGTTTGGTGATTGTTGGGATATTCGGGAGGTAAATTGTATACCTGATTGGAGGAGAGAGTATCGCGTGGCCTGCCTCGTCTTCGTTTTCTGGGAATACCGAGTGTGAGCAAGTCGTTGACATTGCTAGGGTTTGAGAGTGAAGAACTAGGGTTTGAATTGGTGTCAGAGTGGGGTAGAACGATGGTGAATTGCAGAGGGTTGTGAACGTTAGGGAGGATTTGTTGTTGTTGTTGTTGATGGGTTTCGTTCGAGGGATTCATGGTTGGAAATTTGAATCGAAAGAATATATTGGATCAGCAAGAACTGATACCAGGCGCCATGGACGATGATGATACATTGCAATGGGCTACTGTTAAAAATTATATTAAAATATTCATATAATCTTTTATTGTAAATTAACGTTTATTTATTTTGATAAAAACGATATTTAAGTTTTAAAGAGGGTTAACTACGTACCGATTCTTAAGATCAATTTATCAATCCATTTATGATACAATATAACAATTAAAATAAAAATATTATTAAGTTATGTTGTTTTAGATTATAACAATGACATTACTCAAAATGAATAAATATAAAAGTATATTAATATACTATAAAGTTATAGTATTATCTTAAATAAATTATTATTATACGTGTCCTAACCACTTCAAAAAGTTACAATTATGATTATAAACTCATTGCTCTAATTTAATATTATGTGGTTTTACATGCAAAATTGAGACAACATGAATTATAATTAGATCATTTGTTTTAATTTGGTGTTTTATGAATTGATTTATACTTTTTTTAATCTTTTTTTAATAATATATAGTCATCGCAAATTTCCTTTAATTTAAATATTATCGTACAACGAGTGAGATGACAAACGGACAACAAGCTGCGCCGCTAAACCTTTTTGTATGGTAAAGCTAATTCATTTGAAGACTGCATCCATAAATCTAAGAGATATAACATTGTTATGCATGATCCGTTATGCTCTATTAAAATCGCAATGTGTGAGTAGATACATAATTTAATAAGAAATCTTAAAATATCTTTTATTATACCAAATTTTTAAAAAAAAAATCATCTTAAATAAACCCTAATCTTAAGTATAGATCTTTAATTCAAAAATAAGGTGAAAATTGAATAAAGCCTACAATTTGATGGTAAGCGGTCCAACATTTTAAATATTGTGTTGAGCAAACAATCAGAAAAAACAAAGAAAAACGTCATAGAGAATTAACATGGTTCGGTCTATGTGACATACGACCACAGGTAGGAACCAAAGATCTCTTTTATTACTCAACTATGTAAGTTGGTTGCTATTATGTTACATATGACCTAAATCATTAGATTAATATAGTTAGGTTGCTATTGTGGATAGAAATAAAAAAACCTTGTCTATTTTGGTAAAGTTCATTGCTATATGGTATGATACTATGATTTTACATTGCTATATGGTGTGATTTTACTATCTAAGTTGGCTGCTATTATGTTACATACGACCTACATCATTAGATTAACATAATTTTGCAATGGTTTTTTGTTCTATACAATAGACAACAAGTATAGTATTTTACACAATCAAGTTACAACATCAATACACCTCATTGTTAATGTACATTATTTCTTCAAAATGACTAAATTAACCTTGCATTATCCATGTTGCACCTCTGCTTGAAATGCACGATTCAATCTCAATATCTTCTTTGCCAAGTTACGAATATCATCTCTACTCGATTCCACCGAAATTCTTGCAAGTTGTTTAACTCCTCCACTTGTCACAAAATCCCTAGTATTATCCTCTGAAAATAAATACCAAATTAAAAAATGTTTTTATTTTTTGTGTGTCCATTCATAAAAAAATAATAAGAAAAAAAAAAGTGTGTTACCATTTTGTGCTAAATGACAAAGAGCAAGCTCAATGTGACGGCGGGTTGATATTGAGGAAGTATTTGAGTTTGCAAGCAACCATGAAAGGACACCATCATCCATTAAAAGAGAACGACCTTCCTTGTGTCCTTTTGAGTTAAAAAGTAACCAAGGTTAAGTTTAAACTGATTTCTGAATATAAAAAGAAAGAGTAAAATAAATTACATTTCTGGTCCTCGAGTATAGGTGATTTTTTTTCAATTTTGGTCCCGAAATGTTTTATCTTCCAATTTTGGCCCTTATTTGAGTTTCTTGTAACGTTTTTGCAAACTTGGTCGCAAAATATAGTCATTTTACTTGGAATAGGGACCAAAACGGTGCAAAAACCCCACATAAGGACCAAAATTGAAAAAATCAGGTATACTCAGGGACCAAAAATGTAAGAAATTTAAAACGAAAATTATGTAATATTGTCGACCTTGAGTTATTGCTCGAGTTTCACATTTAGCAAAATTTGCTAATCCCCGAGCCACCTGAGCGATGACATCATTATTTCCAGATCTAACCATCCCCAAAAGTGCTCTAACACCTCCTTGTTCAATCAGCAGTAAATGTAACTTTTCTGTTATGGTAAATAATAACAAAAAAAAAAAAAAAAAAAAAAAAAACATGTCACTTATTTGAATAAAATGAGGCAATAATTTATGAGAAGACATAAAAGAAGTTAATTACTTAAGGGCAAATAGTAAGGAAATAGCAACAAAAAGTAAGTAAGGTTGCTATTCTCTGAAATTTGGAGATTACTTAATTACCATTTCCGCATAAATTTGCAATTGCTCCAGCTACCATTCTGAGAGTTTGAGGATCATCTGTTTTTGATGCTGTATGTGCTAGTAAAGCAGCACCTCCTTTACCCATAATCAATCCTTGATTCAATTCTACCAAAAAAAAAAAAAAAAGATGATCTCTTCATTCAGAAAATGGTCAAAAATATATAATAAAAGATATAAGGGAATACCATTCATTGCAAGATTCGCAATGGCTCCAGAAGCAACCCTAAGTAGCGTTGTATTCTGGGAGGTTCTTAATAGAATCAGCAATGCATCTAGACCACCTTCTTGTACAATTTTTTCCTGATTTATATCTGTAAAAATAATATTTTGAAGAGGATTACATAATACATAGATAAAGATTATAAAACAGAACCTACCTTCAGCAGCAAGGTTTGCCACCACTTTCACTGCATGTGTTTGGACATCTAAATCAGCAGATTGCAATAGTGCCAATATCTTTTGAAGCCCAACTATAATATACAAAGAAAAAAGTAGTTAATTTTCCGTAATAAAAAAAAATATGGGTTTTCAAGATTTAATCTATAAAAGTATATGCAAAAACTTGCCTTCTTCACATATCTTAGCTATAGTGGTACGCTGAAAAGAATTTGATTCTCTTGATTTGTTTGAATTGTGTAGACCCAAGGGGGCCCCATTTGTTGATCCTCGTGCAATATTCTCTTTCATGGATGGTCTCTTGTCCTATTAAAATTTTAAATATAATCCTCAATATATCCAACATGGAAAATATTTAGAAAAAAAAAATCTAAAATACCTCAAAGTCATCCTCGCTTTCGGGTACTGCATTTTTTATACTACTTAGCTCTTTTTCAACTGCCTTCCTTCGTTTCTCCTCAAGTGAAAGGGCTTCTCTTACAGTGTAAAGTTCATTGCTTAATTTATCCTACAATAAAAATAAAAAGGTGTCATCACTCATGACTCATGAGTAATTTATCATTTTTCTTTTCTTCACATTTTTGTTACCTTCTCTGATGATAAACTCTTATATTCTGTTTTCACTAACTCAAGTTCATCAAGAGCTGCTTCATGAAGCTGAGACATTTCTTGTACTTCCTTTCTGAGAGTGTCAATCTCCTCTTGCCCTTGGATCTGCAACCAAAGGATAAATAAATAAATACAACTTAGAACCCTAATTAAAATTAGAAATGGTGATTTAATCTGAAAACTTACTTGTAGTGAACTATGATGATCACTTGAAGCTTTCTTTAATGAAATCATGTCATCTTCCAAACCAACATATCTTGCATGTTCATCCTCCACTTGTATAACCAGCTCCATAATTCTTTTCTCATACATCTGAGTGGTTTCTGCAAGTGCCTTTTGGTATGTAGTACGTTCAATCTCATATTGCTATTCGAAAAATGAAAGCAAATAGTTATAATAAACTTTGTATCTTTAAAAATATAGGTAATAATACCAACATTATTTACACTTTTAAAAATGTAACACAAACCTCCATTGACTTTTCATGACTGCTTAGTAGATTTTTCATAGAACTTAACTGTTGGTCAATGTTGTTTGACCTTTCTCGTTCATCATCTAAATGTGACATTAATTCAGATATTTTCTCCTCAAACATTTGTGTTGTGTCTGCAAGTACCTTCTGGTATGTTGATGTTTCAACCTCGAATTTCTACTACCATTGAAGAAATAATTTAAATATTTGTGGTCAAAAAGTCAAAATCAAATAAAATTATAGCTATTTTGATTTGATTACCTCACAATGCTTCAAACTTCTTTCTAGACGCTCAACTTCTTTGTAAATTATCTCATTCTGATCTTTCTGATAATTCAACTCCTTTAAAACATCTTTCATTTCTGATTCCAGTTGAGATTTATCCTTCTCTAACAACTGAATCCAAATGTGAAAAAATTCAGAAAGGTCAAAGGTTTTAGAAATAATGAGTCAACTTCCGGAAATATGCCAGAAAGAGAGAAATGTACCTCACACCTTGCAATTAATGACTTTTCAGCTTCCTCAAAGCTATTTTGACACTCTTTGAGATTACTCTCCAATCTTAATGTGTTGTCTGCTTTGGATTTTTGTTGTCTGTCTACCTCCTTTGTGAGTATATCAATTTGATTCTCAAGTTTGTGACACAAACTCTCATAATCAAACTCTTCTTTTAACTTTACATAGTTTACTACTTTCATGGCCTGATAAATCATATAATTATAAGTCTCACAAATTAACAATCATCCCAATGCAATTGTATAAACAGAAAAATGAAATAGTAATAATAGCATTTGGAACTCCAACTTACCCGTTGTCCAAACATTATGGTGCTTGCAGTTTCTGTATGGTATCTAGAAGATGGCCCAATTGTTACTATTAGAGATGTTCTTGCAGAGCCTGTTTCGTTTCATAATTTCATTAGCAAGAAGTAGGTAGATACAAAAGAACAGAAAAGCACTCACAATTTGATATAAGGGTTTGTTTTTTTACTTAATGAGCTTAATGGGTTAACCACTTAATCTGAAAAGCTATATATGGTTGTTTCTTTTTTACTTAATCTGGATAAACAGCTTAATGAGTTAATAACCCTTTACCTACCCCCCCAGGGAAGGGTAAAATGGTCATTTACATACAGTTCATTCGGTCCACTTTATACATACGGGACTTAATAAGAAAAATAAAGAAAAGCAGAATTACCTCCAAAAGAGTCACGAAGCAATCTTGTTAGCTTAGAATCTCTTGTTGGTATATGAGGGCTATTTTCAGCCAATGCATTTATACATTTTCCAAGGGAACTAAGAGATAGATTGATAAATTTTGTCTCTTCAACCAAGTGACCTTCACTCCCTGATTTAATAAAAGTGGTTAATATTTATATACCAGATTTAATAAAAGTCAAGTGTTTAAGCTCATATGCAACACACCAGATTTGTCCAGGCGTTCAGAACCTGCAAGATCAACTAAAAGCAGCTTGCTTTTTCGAACAGTTGGTATCACATGGCCACCAACTAACACACTTGTATCATCTTTCCCTTGAAAAGATGTGTTGTTTTCTTCTTTATCAATAACAGATCTTCTAACAGATACCATAAGAATTGCATGGCTACGAGAAGATTCAGTGTTCATTCTTGTGTTTGCTGCATGGCGATTTGCTTCTCCAATTTGTAGTAAATGCAAAAAATGGTCAAGATTTTGAATCTTGACAACTGCTGCACCAGGCACTGAGACTTCCCCATTTTTTGGATCATCAACAATTGGAATGTTGACTTTTTCTGGAGCAAGTAAATCTTGAACACTTTCCATATAGATCTGTTACAATAACCAAGTCATGTGTGATGTGTCAATTCTTTGAAGCTGATATAACAGATAAACACTGTGTAGATAAGTAACAGGTAACAGAAGAAGTATAAATCTATTTGATAGAATATCTTTCTATGAAGTTACTACTTATGGTATGTATGTTCATAATAAAAGTTAAAGCAATAACTAGATCTTAGTAATACCTGTAGATAGGACATTTCCACACTATCAGATGCTGGAGATGCACTAGCAATGATGTCCTCCAAAGCCCTAACCATAATTCCTCTCTCAGATGCATCATCCTTTCCCAATTTGCCAAGTGTATAAGTTTTGCCAGTTCCTGTTTGACCATAAGCCATAATTGTTCCATTATACCCATTCAACACACCCTGCACAAGTAAAGACAAGAGCTTTGATGATGACATATAAATATGAGAATACAGTATTCAAATTATTGGCATCTGTCAAATAAACATGATTAAGTTTTCAAAAATCAAGCAATGTTCACTTACCTCAACTACAGGTTTTGCTACTGCCTCATAGACACGCTTTTGAGAAGCAGATTCTGTAAATACTTCATCAAATCTGTAAGAGTCGGAACTCCAATTGTTTTTCTTCAACTTCAGTTTCATAAGCTGCTTGAAGGAAAGCAGTCATTATTCATTCATGGTTCAAGAAATTCAGAGGAAACTGTTGTTTATAATGAAAATTGGGGAAAATGATATTCTGGTCACCTCAGGTTGAAGTTCTACACAGTCGAAAAAATCAGCATCTGAAAGATCCTCTGTGTTTTTTGGCCGTAGTCTAATGGCAACTCTCACTCTTCCAGGTTCTGCGTATCATATACAAGCAACACTCATAATTCGTTCATTGAAACAAATGGAGTACATGTCAGACGAAATAGAAACCCTTATATGCAAAACAAACCCTTCTAAGCAAAACGCAGCAGCAACTGATACATTTCTAAACACGAATCATCACGCATTTTCCATTTCCATTATCATCCCCAAAAGTACACGAATGGAGGTATAACTACGTACGAATGAGCATTCAGATAGATAGATAGGAAGTACCTGCATCATCGTCGCTCTGCCGAGTGTGAGAACGAGAATTGGGGGTAACAGAACGTCTGGAAGCCGAAGAAGACGGTGTTTTAGAGCGAACGGAGGGAGCACCTCCGCTGCCAACAGTTCTAGCAGAAGGCGGTGGCGTAACATGCTGTTTCTCATGCTTACTGCTACCATTGTTCAGCATTCTGACACCGGAAGCCATTAATTCTTCAGTCCTCGATTCTGAATTTTAGAGAGAGAAATCATATATATACATGCATACCTGGCAGAGGGAGTGAGGCCGGCACGATTGTAACAGTGTGCCAAGCATAAACAATTACTCGTGATTGTGACAGGGAGAGAGAGAGTATTTGCCCGTTGAAACTCCGGCCAGCCGGCTGGACGGCGGTCGTGCGTGTGTGGTGTGTACGTTCCCGCCTTCCATTCTATGGGGATGGGGGCCCCTTTGTCGTTTGTATTATTGTTGTGTCGCTTTCCCTCCTTTCCCCTTTACCAATTTAGCATCACATATTCACATTAAAAGCTATGTTTATCCATAATCAGATAACCGGGTAAATGGTAACTAAGAATTTGGTAATTGGTAACTAGTACTTATAACTTGTATGGATACTTGTATCACGTATTTGTAATTGTAACTTTTATATGCATATAACATACAAACAAAAATAAATGTAAGTTTTTAAAGGTGTAAAGTTCAAAAGCTTTTATATAATTATAAGATTTTTATTTAAAATAAAAGCTTAAACTCGTACTTACCAATGAAATTTTGTCTTTAATTTGAGTATTTTTTTCTTCAAAAGTTAAAAGTTTCAAAAAACTCTAATAAAACTAGTTGTCAAAAGTATCCGCATTCAAAACATTTTAATAATTTGCAACAAATATAAATTGTCATTATTTATGGAGTATTTATTACATCGAATGTATAAAAAGTTATTTATCATATAAATTTTGATAAGAAAAAGTTTCTCATATCATCAAAACCAATTGTTGGAATGTATTTAGTTGAAGGTAAAGTGATCACTTGTATTATATTAATAAAGATGAGTAGTTCTTAAACTGTAGATTACTAATAATATTTTTGATGATTTATTGCAAATGTTAATCGATGCTCATAATTATTATATATTATTTTTGTTAAGAAAATATATTATGGATGTTAAAAAAACTTTTATTACAACATTATATTTGAAAAACTAAACCGTTGTCCTTGCTTTTGATCTTTAAAAGCTCATAATAAATTCAATTTACAAAAACCAAATCAAAATATTTAAGTTTCTCAAATAGAATAACTTATCCAATGATTCTATGACTATGATATTTAAAAATTAAAAAAAAAAAATGAGATATAATAATACAAACGTTAATGCAGTAATAGATGACATGTATGTATGTAGAATTATTCATGACAATAATGGAGGGCATGTGATGGTGAGTGTCAACCTCCCCACCCATATGCTTAGACTGTGTTGCCACCTTGGCTTTCATTACCTTTTTACAGGTAAACAAGATGACTATTGACTATTGAGACCAAGTATTTTAGATATTTTTATTATTAAACAAAAAGTTTTAAGTTCTATTTTTTTGGAATTATTGTCCTTTTGATTATGTTGAAACTTTGTTTGATTTAATAATAGATGACAGTAACCTTAAAATCTACACGTTATTCGGTGAACAAACTCTACAACTCATGTTTCATAGAACATTGAATAATATATAGTTTAAAACATTCTTAAATTATTGGGAACAGTTTAACATAATACATATTACAAGATTCATTTTTTTGTGTTTGATATTGTTCAATAAATAATATACGGAAGAAGGTTAGAACTTTGATTTATTCTGGCATTTAAACATTTTGATAGGTGAATACATGTATATTTCTAAATTAATGTGAATACATGTATATAATAGACCTGACCTATCTTCTTAATCTTCATCTGAATGATTAATGTATAATACTACAATCAATCAGATAAAATCACTGTATAAACTTTTAAAGGTTTGAAATGGAACGAGTGACAAAAGACATGATTATATATGTTTCCCATCATAAAACTGAGCATTCTTTGACGACTTAAAAGATTGAAGAAAACGCGTTGCAGTCTGAAACTCTTCCTTCTGCCTCTTTTTATCCCAACGGTGTTCATCCGCCAATATCTGAATGACACGTGGCAGTGCTCTGCCTGCTGCATCAGTATCCAAAAAAGCAAGGCGTGATCTCCTCGCGATAAAATCAACCGCAGATTCACAGTATTCATTTCGTGCACAATACGCCACCTCAGCTTCAAGATACGGGTACCCGTGGGCCAACCGTTTCCCCAAATTCTCTTTCTATTAAAAAAACCAATATTTCCAAATAAATTTTGAGTAACGAATTAGCAATAATGTAGTTATAGATGATAAGTATGAAAGTTTTCAAAACCTGAGCTATGGAAGCTACTTTCTCAGCCATGGTGCCATAGGAATGGGACAAATGTTTAGCAGCTGCAGTGTCCATAACTCCAGGAACAATTTTTCCATTATGTGCAACTTTCATTCGTACGTATTCTTGAGCAAGAACTGTGAAAAACGCAGGATCCCATCCCTCTCCACCCACAAGTCGTATGTTTGATGTCAAACTCGTGTTTTTCGGGTTTAAATTCCCCGACTTGATAGCTGCATCAACTGCATCTTCAGCCATGCTGAATTTATGTTAAATTAGCACCATTTTGAATTTTCACACAACACAAACTTATGAAAGAGTAATCGCGTGTGTGTACTTACCTTCTATATGTAGTCCACTTTCCACCAGTAATGGTGACCAAACCTGGAAAATCTTCACACACAACATGATCCCTTGAGATGCTCTCTGTGTTCTTTGCATTTGGATCGGTTGCCAAAGGCCGGATGCCACTCCAAGCAGACAAAACATCCGTGCGCCTTACCTATATAAAGCAATAAATAAATACAACCAATATGAGAAGAAGAAAAAAAAAACACGAACCTTAACGTTGAGATAATCACAAATGGCATCGAGTATGAATTCAATTTCGTCTTCATGAGGTTCCGGAAGCATGGTGATGGAGGTGTTGGAATCGGTGGTCCCGGCGACTGTTCTTCCAAGCCATGGAAGCATGAACACAACACGGCCGTCTTTTGTTTTGGGGACAATCAAACCCATACCTTCCGGAGAATAGTAATCGGGGAGGACTATGTGGACCCCACTGCTAGGACAGATCATCGGTTTCGCATCTTTATCAGCCAGCTTGCGAACAGAGTCACAAAATGGTCCACCCGCATTCACTATCACTTTCGCATATGTCTCAAACTCCGTGCCTGTAAGTGTTTAGTAAGAATTTACTATTTTTTTTTTTTAATTAAAATAAGAAAAAAAAAAAATATATATATATATATATATATATATATGTTTCACCAGATAAGTTGTCGCGGATCCTTGCTCCTATAATCCGGTCCCCACCATCTTCTTTAATCAAATTTACAACTTCAGCATGATTAAGAACAGAAGCACCAGCTAAAGCAGCAGTGCATGCTAATCCAACATTAACACGTGAATCATTCATTTGTCCATCATAATAGACAACTGTGCCCTTCAAGCTTCTGTCTTTACCCTTTCTTGCAAGTGTAGGGAAAAGTTCAGCAGACTCTTGTGCAGAGTAATATCTAGAAAGATGAAGGAGGCGTCTTCCTGCTACCAGATCATACATTTTCAACCCCACCCAGTAGTATAGCGCCTCAAACCAGCTGAAACATGGTGTCATGCAGGGTAATGCATGGCATAGGTGTGGGGCGTTATCTATAACCTGTTTTCGTTCCTCTAATGCATGAAATACCAGCTTTAGTTGCCCATAATCTAAATTGAATACTGCTTTTTCCAAGTACCTAACACCTATAAAAGAAAAATATACAATAAATCAGTACACCACAAATGTTTTAATTGGTATACAAAAAATAATTTAAAAGATGTTCCATGTACTATTTCTCATTATTGGATATTTGGATGTGTAGTGTATAGTCATGGCTTCATTAAAAAGAAGGTAGCTCCAAATTAAAGTATCTAAGGACGCAATTTGGATATGTTGAATTCTTTCTTTATTTCAAAAGTTGAAATGTGACATGGGTGATACACTTGATGTTATTATGGAAATTCTAAAGTATGTCTTACACTTCTTTTAATGTGTTATATTAAGAAGATGTACCATTAATAGCCATTAATAATAATTTTAATGTTCCACTCATTTGCTTATTTTTCGTGGTCTGTAATGGTTGTGTGTGGTGTAGACACTAAAGATCATTCGGGAAATTTACATAGCCATTTAGTCTTGTTGTGGTTTATGTGTCTTTTATCAGATGATTTCAAAGCTTTATCTGCCTTTTAAAGGGGAGATACATTTGAGGTTTTTTCTAGGCCCAGATGGGAAAGATGGAATTTGATTATGGGCACATCTTTAAAGCATCAAATTAATGAAATTTTACTAAATTTCATGAGATCTCTATTTATGTTTTTCATGTCCACTATCTACAAATAGTATGAATTTTTGTTGTACATTTAATTAACTCCCTCTTCTAAGAAAATCAGAAATGAACTATAAGAAAACAAGAGTGGTACTATGACAATTGAAAACCTTCATACAATAGATATCATTCCTAAACAAAAATGCATACATTTGTAGTAACTTACAACAAAAGGCTTTCAATTTGAAATACTTGTTATGAAGTTCAATATGATGATCATTTACATCCTCAAACTCCAAGTTCACAAAAATTTTAACTTCAAAGACAGTCCTGTGGCAAGGTGGAATAACTTATATACATATTGCTCATGAGTTAGAAAGGAATCCCCAAATGAAAAGTAGTTATAACAGCAATATGAAGAAAACCTAAAGCCACATGTTAACTGAAATTCTTCTTAAAACCTACAAACCAATTTAATTTGTCTTTAGAGTGGGAAAAGTACAACCCTGATCTTGCAGTTTTCAATTAATTATCCAATTTAAATTATTTCTCAGTTGGAAAAAAGTATAACCCCAAATCCCCAATTATGCAGCCATTAAATGACTATCCAGTTCCCATATATGTCTGTAGGTAAACAGAAAATCAGAAATATGATTCATCATATTCCAGACCAAGTAATGTCACAACCCCCAGACTTAACCATCTTCATCAAGGTCATTATTGCCCAACAGATGTATGCATTAACGCATTACAACTTGTGGATACCATTAATATCATCCTAACCCTAAACAGGGGACTGCCTTGATAGCTTTTAATTCAACTACAATAATTTTGGGAACTTATTGGCAATTCATGATCACATAATCGATTCATACTCACAAGTCACAACCCACCGGATACCAAAGCAAGCATAGATGATCATAACTATCAAAGTTCAAAAACCACAATACGTACCTCCGTGAATTAACTTGGTGGAGCGGGACGACGTTCCAGAAGAGAAGTCATCTCGTTCCACAAGGCCAACGCGTAGTCCTCTGGTGACCGCATCAAGAGCGACGCCGCATCCTGTAGCGCCTCCGCCGACAACAAGAATGTCGAGCGGATTAGAAGAATTAGCAGCGATCAGAGATGACTCCTGTAAGGTACGAGAAGGTATAACCGCAACAGGGTCTGTGATCTTCCTCCGAACTGCCTCTAGCGCTGTACCACTGCCATTCCGATCATTAGAGGATACGTAAGGATCACGTAGTGCTACATAGGAGCCGCCTACAGCGACGGCGAGCGAGGCAGCCGTGACCCCTACGCGCCGAGCGCGAAAAAAACTGGCCATGTCCTCTCTCAGAGAGCGTGATGAGAAGGAGTGGAGGATGTTTTTGACTTTTTGGTGTGGCTCTTACCTTGTGATTTGTACTTTTTGGTGTGGCTCTTGCCTTGTGATTTGTATAAACGCAAAAAATGGGTCTACGTGCCTCTTAAATTATCTTGGATAATGTTACTTTTTGCCCAAGATCTTGTCCAATAAATTATAGGTTTATTTTCGTTTGGTCATTTTTTTTAAGTTTGCATTCTACACCCCACAAACATTGAAATTTTATATCACTAAAGCCATTTTGTGAGTCAGTCGGTAAAAAGTCTATTATGTTGGCCACGTGTGTAAACATGTGTTTTTTTTCGTAAATAATAAAATAAGGCCAAATATGATTTCCCTAATAGTTTACAATATTAACATTTGACTACCTCTAATTTACAGATACTATAAAATATCACAATATAATCGACTAGTCTAATATACGCCCTCAGTCTAAGGAGGAGGTTGACGGATGCTTAGACTGAAACAAATATCATCGAATATGACGCATGATAGGCCTTTTGTAAAAATGTCAACGAACTGATATCTTGAGGGTACATGTAACACTCGAATTTGCCCTCTTTGAACTTTCTCCCGAACGAAATGAATATTGATTTCAATGTGTTTTGTACATTGATGTTGGATCGAGTTTTGACATAAGTAAATTGTGCTTACATTATTGCAATAGACCAAAGACGTGTGTCAAGGAGGTAGACCAAGCTCGAGAAGCAAATTACGTATCCAACAAATTTCGGCGACCACATTAGCAACCCATTTGTATTCCGCCTCGACGCTAGATCGAGAAATGGTAGTTTGACGTTTGGACGACCAAGAGATCAAGTTGTCTCCCAAATAAACGCAGTGGGCAGAGGTAGAACGACGGGTATCCGGACAACCTGCCCAGGCTGTGTCGGTGTAGGAAACAAGATTGGCAGGGGGAAGATGCATGCTTGTACAACCTCATGCGCATTGTGCCCTTAACATACTGAATGATGTGTTTTAAAGCATTCCAGTGGGCAGATCTAGGTGCATGCATGTGCATGCAAACTTACTGAACCGCGTAAGATATATCGGGCCTGGTGAACGTCAAGTACTAAAGGGCCCCTGCAAGGATTCGGTAGGTAGTCAGATCGTCGATTAAGTCACCCACGTGACGACTTAGTTTGCCAGTTGTGTCTACATATGTGTGCACCGGGTTGCAATCTCCCATTTTGGCCTGTGTTATTATTTCAGAAGCAGATTTTGCTTGAGATGGGAACATGCTAGTAGCGTCACGCTTGACTGAGATGCCAAGGAAGTAATGTAAAGGATCAAAGTCTTTCATGCCAAATTCGGACAAAAAGCGTGATAGAAATTGTTGTTGAAGAATTGAAGAGGAGGCGGTGAAGATGATATCATCCACAGATAGGATGAGGTAAGTTGTGTTTGGGCCGTGGCGATAGACAGATAGAGAGTGATCACATGTGCTATATCGAAAACCAAGAGTGGTAAGGTAGTTCGTGAAGCGTTGGTACCATGTGCGTGGTGCTTGTTTCAAGTCATATAAAGACCGCTTTAATCTGCAAACATGATTAGGAATTTTGGAATCTCGAAAGCCAAGGGGCTGATGCATAAAAATTCAGAGAGATGCCCGTGAAAGAAATCATTTTTTACGTTGAGTTCGTTGATCGCCCACTTTTTGTAAAGAGAAATGTTAAGAACCATCTAGATGGTAGCCAATTTAACAACTGGATTGAAAGTTTCCTTGCAATCGACACCCACCTGTTAAGACCTATCAATACATATGCACCGAATAATGTTCATGTCTGAGCGAAGAGGTGTTGGTGATTTTGTTATCATCAATGTTATTTAAGTGTAATGGGATTAGTTTGTTGACCAAAAGTGATCTTGATAAATATTAAACAAGTAAGGAAGGTGTGGAGTACACACTTGTTTAAGTTTGATCAAGTTTCAAAGTACACTGTCATTTAGGGGCGAAGCCCCTGAACGAACGGGGGTCCGGGGGCAGCGCCCCTGGGAGCGGGGTCCAAGGGGCAGCAGCCCCTGGCGGGGTCCAAGGGGCAGAGCCCCTGGCTGGGGTCGAGCTGTCATATGATTTTTCAGATAATTGACCATTGGTTTGACCCTTATCCATATATCTGTTTTATGACAGTTTTTATAGTTTTATGACAGTTTAAAACTGTCATATGACAGTTTTTAGACAAGGATCAAAAAGTTGGTTTTTGGTCTCATTTTCTGGTACATACGAAATATCATCAAACATTCTTTGTTCTTGTCTCTCTCTCTGAGTCTTATCCGATTAAAGATTGGGAGTGCCACCCAAATACTTTAATCTGAAAGTTAAACCACAATTCTCAGAATTTCCAAGGCTATTTTATCCCGATTTTCTTACAATAGGTACTAAATCCTAAGTATTATTATCAATAAAAGCGTTAAACTCCTCGGTCATGGCATGATTCCAATCAGTTATGGACAGTGCAATAATTGGATTACGTGGGAGTGGAGTAATGGTTGTGACGGTGGACGTATGTAAGGATAAGGTTGTTTTGGTTTAGTAATGATGTACATACTTCGAGTGGTAAAGGTGCGAGGTTGTGGAGGTGGCGGATCAGGAATATGAGCAGAGACATTAGGTATTTGAGTGTTGGTAATAGGAGATGGTGAGATGTTGTTTTGAGTGTTGTTTTGTTGGTGACAAGAGTAAATGTAACGTCCTAATTGTCAGGTATAAATTAATTAAGTAAAATTCTTTTTTGTGGAACCATGGACTCGAGTACGCGGGGCGTACATATGGTACGCCGGGCGTACTCCAATGCTTGCATGATGCGGGATGTCCCCCACATATGCTGAGCGTACGTCCGTCAGGGACAAACCCTAATTTTTAGGGTTTTCACCTTATTCAAACACATTAAGTCCTCCAAATCTTTCACCTTATCAGCCTCCATTGTCTCTTGAGCTATATCTCGAAACCCTAGTCCATTTTCCAAAGAGATCGATTGACCTTGTGTGTGTGTGTGGTGCTTATTGAAGAATAAGAAGAAGATTTATGGAGAAGCATTGGACAAGAAGGAGCTTGTAGATCCAGAGGTTATTCACCATTTCTAGCTTATTGGAGGTATAAAGATCCTACCTTGATGAATCTATGTGTTAGATTTAGTTTAGGGCTTTCTTTTATCATATAATGGTCCTTTGAGTCATCCTTGAGAGTATGAGTTACTCCATGAGCTTAAAATGTTATATTTCAACATTTTTAATGGTGTTAGTGCATAAAAATATCATCTTGATGGATCATGATAAACCATGCAAAAGTTGGTGTCCATTCTTTGAGGATAAAGTGTTTAAGTTGGCTTTGGAACCTTTCAAGACATGCAAAAGCATAAAGTTTGCAACTTTATGGCTTAATACGTTTTAAGGGACTTAGATCTGGAGTTGGACATTAGATCTTAGTGAATTAAGACCTTAAAAGCAAGAATTGGCCAACTGGGGCGTACGCCAGGCGTACATAGGTGTACGATGTGCGTATGCACCTGGGGTCCCAACATTGTGAAGCTCTCGAGTACGTCGGGCGTACTGATTGTACGCTTAGCGTACTCACCAGAGAAGTTTTTTTGGGCTTTTAGTTTCGGCCCACTTTGGACTTAGGGATTTAGGCCCTTGTTGGGCCGCAAGCCTTTTGTGATGGGCCTTTTTGGACTTGGGACCATAGTGGGCATGGAATATCTTTTGGGTTTTGGGCTAGTTGGATTTGGGCCTTAGTGTGTTAGGCCCAATAAGGCAAGGATTAAGCAGCCTTTTTACCCTTAAAGTCGGGGTTTAGGATTTAGACTCTCGGGTAGGGTTAATGACCTAATTGCTAATTAGGGTTCTTTTATTTGTGATATGGTGAGAGGACTTCACGATTCGGCAGTCCGAGTGTGATTTGATATCTTCAGACTTAGGTGAGTTTCCTTCACTGTACTCGTGGGTCGAAGGCACCAATTTCGGCCCACTAGATTATGTTAATAAAATGATAGTTGTCTTTGTGACAATTCCATGTTACGTCGGTTTATGCTTGTTGTCTTCGTGACTTTTTGTTTATATGGTTGTATGCTTATATGTAGGGGTGAAATAGACCTAGTACCAGTTGAAAGATACCGAAGGGGGTGAAATAGACTGTAACATCCCAATTTTCAAGACCAAAAATTTTGTTTTTAATTAAGTGACTTATAAAATAGTTTACTGAAAAACATCAACGATTCATATCATTTCTAAAACCTTAGTCACGTGTCTCAAAAACCATAACATAAAATAGTAATAATGTCATAGTACAATCCCATGGATCTCAAAATGCGGAAATCATATGTGTGCGATGCGCTGCTACCGTGCCGGCTCCTTCCCCTTCGCTGAATAGGTACCTGAAACAAAACTAAAAACTGTAAGCACGAAGCTTAGTGAGTTCCCCCATCATACCACATACCATACTATAAACATATTGTCAGGCATATCTGGGTGCCCGACCTACCTTGCTAGGCAAACTGGGGTGTCTGACCTACCCCTCCGGTTTATACATGCAATATTGTTTCTAAAGCATTAAGCCTACAACTAGCATGCAAATGACATAATCAACATATAACTGAGTTATAGAATTACCTCTTTGTTGTAGCTTGTAGAACTTCTTGAGTTTGGCCTTTAAGAACTTAGTGCCCCAAGTGCTGCACCTCAAATGGAATCACAACACACCTAGAACAAAGGATGACTTTTGAGAGAGTTTCTTCCACTCAAATCGGCTATAGTGACTCCAAGAACACTAGTATGTAATTTTGGATACTAAGAGACTTCTTATATAGTGTGGCATGATTAGGGTTACACCATGTAAACCCTAATGTGAGTGACCTTCCATATTCCTTAGGCTCCATGGGTTTAAACTTCCATGGATCATCCATGGGTTGTCACATGGGTTTAGCCCAACCTAAGGAATCATGGATCAATGGCCCACACCATAAGAATGAATGATTTACCAAATCAACCCCTTATATATAATTAGTATCTTTTTTATCACAAAATTAATTCCAAACTAATTTTTGATCAATACTAATT